TGACTGCATATGTCCATTAAAGCCCATGTGTGGTGTTTATCAATTAAATACATGCAGGCCGTGAACAGATCAGTCGGTAAAAAATGAACTTCCGCCTTTGAACAGACATTTCAAAACTAGTCATTTAGTAAATACAGTTTTCATTCACAATTTGCGACCTTGAGATCACCCCCGGTTTTTTGGAGGGGTTCGTGTTCCTGAGTCTTTAGTTATCTATGCTGTATCATTGTGTACTGATGTTTGTCTTTTTGTCATTTTTCATTTTTGCCATGGCATTGTCAGTTTGTTTATTAATTCGAGTTTCCCTTTTGTTTCTGTCATCTATCTTTTACAACAAACATCATTTTAAAACAGACAAAACTATGGTAACAGCTTCTTAGACAAATTTGAATTTGAACGGCTTTGGATGGTTTGTTCAGGTCCTTTTCGTTTAACGTTTTATATCTATGGCCTCTCCAACATTCAGCATCGAACTTTCATAAAAGCAGAAAAGTCTGACTTATACTGGATTAGGATTTTAAATGCTACTTCTCGGTTGTTGAATTATGTTCCTGGTGAAACCAGCACCACCTATACTGACATATTAAAGTACTTCAATCATTAACATAAAAGTATACACAAGTAAAGCATAAGATACACGTCTACTATAGCATATCAGATCAAAATTATAAATCAATTAAATCAAATTTTGAAAGATGGAATTACTTTTTTATAAATGCTAACCATTATAGAGTACATTGTTTTGTATAAGTGCTTAATCTGCACTTTTCCAATAATTGATACCAACATTTAACCAGCAAACCAACTAACCCATTGACCAACTAATACAATTATACAACTTAGATAATGAGTTTAAGGAGTACACAAAATGTTGCTTGATCAGCATTATTTGTCAATATGTCATATATCATACCGCTTTTAAAATTCTTATTCTTATAGATTTTGCACGACACTAGCATTTTACTTTTCCAATAGATAGGGTTAAGAAAAAAATCAATGACTAAGCTGCACATTTAACCAAATCTTTTATAAATTAATCAGATACAGCAGCATATGGCAAAATTTGGGGTAATTTGCTAATTTGCATAGCGGCCATTTTGCCTTATCATGACGGCAGCCATTACAATAGGATTATATAAGCCCTTTTAATAAAAATGCCAATATGGAAATACCTATGTCGAATGAACAATTTGTTCGCATATAGATGAATTGTACATGTTTTTAGGCTTCTGTCCGTGTACAAATGGACATTGTCTACTCTGAAATCTTTCGGCCTTTTTAGTTTAAAAATCGGAAGCGTAACCATTGTGTAATTGCTATATAAGATCAAATAAAATGACGTAAAATCGTAAAATAGCAAGATTCAAAACAGAAATACACATGCAAGAAGATATTGTTCATGATTTGTTCGCATATAGGGAAACACCTTGTAGGTTGAATTTTAAAGTTAAATAACTTTTAACTTACCTGCTTTCTTAAGTTTTCGGCCAAATTCTTTTAAAAACATGATGATTTCAACCTTTCCATTTCGTAAAAAGTCAAATTTTAAGCATTTTCCCTTAGAATTACACAGCATTTTTGTAAATATCCGCCAAAGGAAGTTTTTAAAGATACATTAGTTTTAGATACATGACGGAATAGGACTGGATTATCCGCAAATCTATAATAAATTATATTTTCAATCTTAAGCTAAGGGAAGTAATTTGATCAAAAGGGACAAAGTCACGTGGTGCAAATGATTTAAATAAAGTACCTTTGATTTTGCCATATGGATTGTCTAAATGGGTCTTAACTCAAAAAGTATAGTTTTATGTAATATACTCTTCATTTCTTTATTAATAATGAGAAATTTGTTATTTATTTGCTGTACCGGATGTGACTCAGTATTACTATATCACACACAACCAAATGGACGGTTGCATTTTCCCTCTGGTAGGGAGAAGTCAAGGTGACAGTTTTTCTATATCCCAATATAATCATATGGTTGCAAAAAAACTGCATATCCAAAAAGATACTTCACAAATATCAGCTAAGGCATTGTCCAAAAGGATACTTAAAAAATATTAACATCTTGGTGAATATTTTGGGACCAGAATATTTATTTTCATGTGTGAAAAGGCAAGATTATTTATTTCCAACTTAATGGGGGCCAGAACATTGCCTCTTGTACAATCTTTGAGTCAAGATTCACGACAAGTCTTAAGTCAGGAGTCTGGAGTTCAATGGTTGTCGTTTGTTGCTATATATTATATTTGTTTTTCGTTTGTTGTTCTGTACATGAATCAGGTCGTTGGTTTTCTCATTTTCATTGTTTTACATTTCGTTATGTCGAGGCCTTTTATTGCATGCTATGTGGTATGGGTTTCGCTTATTACTGAATAATTTAATTTTGGATGTAACGCGTCTTCTGATTGGCTGACGTTGTTTTGTTTATCAGCTCATAGACTTAATTTTGCCATGTGACCGTGACGTCATCAACGTTTTTTCATGGTTTACTCAGGTTTAAAATGGAATTTAGAATTAAATTATAAGAAATGACTGTAACATTTTTTCTGTCTATTCGAAATAACATAAAAAATGTGGTGCACACTTTAAAATAACACGCTACGCGGATTATTCAGTGTGCACCACATTTTTTATGTTATTTCTTCATAGACAGAAAAAATATTACAGTCATTCCTTAAATGTCATACTGTGACATATATTTGCTAATATCTACGTCATTAGGTCTCTGGTAGATAGTAGGCTCATTAATACTTATAAGAACCATATCTCCTTAATTTAGCTATTAAGGTAGTAGTGCGTCACCTTGAAAGACATTGAAATGACGTAGATTTGTCGTTAGAAGTACAAACCAGAACAGGTGTTGGTTGTGTGATCATATTTATTACAGAAAGTGACATTTATATGTATTCTAATGACAACCGGATATTCTTCTCTTCTCTTAATAACCCTGTCATTATTATCCAGTCAACAGGAGGGTAGCATGTGTGTAATTTAATTCTGAAAATTAATGGCCGACATGATTCTAAACATAATATCAGAATAGTTTAGTTTTGTGGAAATAGTAAAACCTCAAATCATGACAGTCATGTTGTTGTGGCCTATCTATGGAGTTTTAAAGTGGAGGGTACGGATCCAAAAGAAATGTACGCTATATTCCAACAATTCAAATAAAATATAAGCATGACTTACAAAAGGTGAAAATTAACTTTTTTTTTCGTCCCCTTAAATATCCAATAAATAAATAAATAAATGATCAATATATTTTGTGTATGAATACATTGGGACTGTACATTGGTCACTTTTGGGGGTAGATGTTCCAAAAGGTATGTAGCTTTTCAAAAACTATGAACATATCGACTATCAATAAATGGCAAGTACTTTGATAATTTCAATTCGAAAGTATATTTTGTAAGATTCTTAGAGGGTTTTTTTTTAAACAGTATTTTGAACTTTACGTGGTCCTTGGTTGACCATTGTTTTTTAAAGATTGTGTCAAATGCATGGATGTGTATCAATCATAAATCTTTTAAAAATAATTTCGTTTTCGTAATGCCTTAATTTCCCCCCTTTTGTTGAAGTTTTTTTTTTTAATCTTCACACTAGCATTTTTTGAATCGATCTAGATAAAGTCATTTAGCGTCCACATTATCTTTAATCCTAACTATCTCTATCGGTCTAATCTGAACCACTGCGTTCACACTATGCACAAGTAAAAATGCAATCGATCTGACCTAATTATCCGTGAAATTGTAAACACTGTATATAAATAGAAATATTTAATCAAATTAATGTGTTGATACCAAAAAAATAATGGATTAAGTTATTGTTTCACTTGAATTACAAGTTCAAATGTTGATAATGCTGTTCGTATAGTTTTCGTTAATTTTCAGCCCTTGTGTTGGTCATCCATTTTGTAATAAATTGCACGTGTAATTTTGCCGCCATACATGCGCACAAATTATATTCGATTCAATCGTATACTAGTTTAGATCGATCTCTGCGTTCACATTTAAGTTAGATCGATTCAAACTTAACTACCTCTTTTGGTGTTTTAGTTTAGACCGATTCAAGATCGATTCAAAGCGTTCACATTGGGTTTAAATCGATTTAAAGTGAACCAATCTAGTTTAAATCGATCTAAATGTCCCAGTGTGAAATGGGGTCTTAGGATAGTTGTCTCATTGGCACCCATATCACATCTTATTTATATCTTAGAATTATATTGTTAAAGTTTCTTGCTGTTCAGTTAAAACTAAAGGAATCGTTTATATGATTGATTGATTGGTTGTTGTTTGTTTAACGTCCAGTGGTGAATATTTCATGCATAACGTTTTGAATTTATCTGGTTGTTAATGCTAAGTACTGTCATCATTATCATTACTTAAATCCATGTCTTTATTTATCTTAAGGAGGAAATCGATTATTTTTACACGTCGAGGACATGTAATTTTATATAATATTTATAATAGATAAGCCTTTACCAGTATGTTTAATTTTAACATGAAAAATGACTTAATGACTAATTAAATAACCAGTTTCATAGTTATAAAAAAACCCTGAATAATATTTTGAACAGGTTTGTTGTCTTTCAACTTTCACTGTCAAATTAAACGTGTTTAATTTTATCCCGTAACGTATAAATTTGCAATCAACAAGACTGGTATCTTGATAATATGCGATTTAAATATTATATTTTTAGTAGTTAGGTTGTTTAAGTAGGGCTATGCACAAATCATTCTTTTTCTGATATTATTATGTATGTATTTAACACGTGAGTCTAGATAAGAAATCGATCAATGAGATATATAGATAGAAATATAGTGTAATATACATATATATTAAATCGGTGAACGTATACCAGTTAATGTATGTTTATTTGTGTATTGTTTTGAATGAATTCTATCTCATTTTCTGATTGGCGTTTAAATAGGTAAAGGGTGGGAGTTTCTGCCATATATGGATAATGTTTGACCTGGTTTCTTGAATATAAATCCCCGATCAGCTGATTTCGAGCTGTCAGACACTATAAGCCGGCCGGTGAGGATAGTTTTCACGTACATTTGAAAGATCTGACGGAAAATCAGATTGAGAAAATGAGTGACATCCAGATGTACGGTACTGAGCTTCGATCTGATCCTTTGGCAGACGAAATATTACAAATTGTCAACGGTGCAACAAAATATAAGGTAAGCAATGCTTTATAGTAAATACTTTTCTCAATGCATTTTAAGTGTTTATTTTTTCCTTTTGTTTTGAAGTTTATTATGTTTAGTTAATTTTATATAACAAAATGTGATAATAATGTTACAACAGTTGTTTTTATGTCATACTTGATGTACATATGCATGCTCGTGTTATAAATAATGTTAACATAGTAACTGTCTGTTACGTAAATCTGGTGTCGTCATACAATTGTTGTCAATGAGAATACTTTTTTATAGACCGTCTTCTACTGAAATATTATAGATGTAAAGTACACTGGGATTATAAGAAATGTTGTAAAAACGAGATCAACAGGACGAGAGACAATAACATATTATTAATTTATTTTTAGATAGAAAAGCGTTTAATAGAGCGATTTCATAAAAAAAGTGACACTCCGAAGTTAGTGTAAAAATCATATGAAAAAATCAACGACAAATACGGGACTACATTCAAAGGGAATCCAGCACACCATTAAAGTTAATAGTTTTGCTCCACACTCCAACACTTTTTGTTCTGCAAACGTTAATTCAATTTGAATATAACATCATATCATATACATGTAATTGATACCAAAATGTATATTTTTTAATATCCCAACAGCCTTTTTTTTTATTTCCAGAGACGATAAATTAAAACAACGAAATAGTGACTTAATGAAAGAAATGATATGAATAAGTGTAACTATTTTAAAAAAATGCGATTAAATTACTAAAGAATGTGATGACATTTGTTTTATTTTAAATGATATTATGGCGAGAGAATCTATCTAACCTATTGGCTCTCTCTCTCTCTCTCTCTCTCTCTCTCTCTCTCTCTCTCTCTCTTGCTATTTTTAGACTCATCTCTACTTTCAATCTTATTATGCTGGGAGCTGATAGTTGCAATTTAAAAAGTAGTTTGAGGGTTTGAAAGTATTGGTGTTCATTGACAGTATTAAAAAAAAATAAACATCTTTGTTCTATTAGTAGCAGAATTTGTAAGAAAAGATAAAATATTTCAGATCCGTGCTTCAGGACAGGATTGAAAAACAAGTGGCTATTTATTTACATTAGGTACGAGTAAACACTGGACAATAACATTCAAGGCCACGGTGTTTTTCTTTACAAACTACTGTCCATGAACTAAATGTACCCATTTTCTTAACCTTGGACAAAATATGATAGATCAGCAGAAATGTGATAAGTTCTTATCATACAATACTGAATCAACACTGTATAAAAATAATAACAGGTATTTCGAAAATCTAACAATGAAAATATCAATTGAAGTAAATACTTTAGCTGAGTTGTAACCTTCTATATCATAATAGCATTTGGGACAGATATAACACCACAGACTAAAGTATCGTGAAGACTTAGTCAAATCTAACAACCTAAACCAAAGTCTGATGGTGACTTAGTCAAACGTTTGACTCAAGAACGTCCTGTTTCATTCCAATTTTATAATTTGAAACTTATGTAATGAAAGGCGTGGGCCATGCAATATGTTGTATTGTATCAGTCAATGAACTAAATAACAAACGTATAGATTTCTTTCTTTATGCATTATAGGTTATATAATTATAATGACACATATGAATATCCCCATTGTATTTGGTTCTCTCTCTTTGAAACTGCAGAAATATTGATATTTATGTTTATTTATCAACGAGAATTTTTTTTTATTGTTTTCTCAATTTCCACAAATTGTGAGCAGCAAAACTCACGAGTTAGTGGTATTTAATTGTGTATCAAAATAATATGCATTAAACAGTGAAAGATATAGATAAAAATAAATTCAAAAATACAAATGTAAAACTGTTCAGAAGTAGTATAAACTGAGATTTTCAGAAACAATAAAAGCACATCACACAGGTTCCCGTAAAATTTTGACGTCATAATACAAAATATCTGACGCCATAATGGAAAAGTGATTGTTGTATGACGTCAATAGTTCAAGCGGGACAGATTCTCGGGTCAGCCGGGAATAGCGATAAGGTGTATAAAAGCACATTTTAAGCTAGCATTCAGACAGGTTAAAGACTTATTCCAAACTTGTCAGATGTAATAAAAAGCAAATTCCAATCTAGATTGTTAGAAATAATAATAGCATATTTCTAACAAGGTTGCCAGAATTGATAAAAGCAGAGTTTAAGCTAAAATTTCAGAAAATATTAAAAGCATATTTCGAGGTTAATTTTCAGTAATAATATAAGCATATTAAATTTTAAATTGTTAGAAAAAAATAGAAATATTTATCATGTTAAGGCTGACCAAAATGATAAGAGGACAGGAATAAATAAATAATACAGATTCTATTACCTATAAAACGTACTGTAAAAATCGCAGTTATTTCAAGTTATTATTGATATTACTAACTTGTTTTGGTTTCAGTTTAAGGGAGAGTTCGGTCGAGGAAACAAGAGATCGAACCAAACAGTCGTATCAAATATCAAATGAAGATCAAATATATCGACATTTTCACAAAAGCCGGTTTCAACAGCTCAAACAAAAACCACTGCACAAACATGTGCATTAATGTAAAACCTCTTTCATGTACGGATCACGCGTGAAAACAGTGATCCAATTTTAATTACAAAAGCTTAATTTAGTTCATGGACAGGTATTCAACAATACAGCTGAAGAATTTGTAACAAAAGTATATAGCATTAAACAAAGAAACAATTCAAATACTTCCATGTTTGTTTCTTATGTCTCTTTTACAGAATCCAAAAGAATTTATATAATGAATATGTACAATAGATAAGATAAAGAGGACATAGTGATTTCATATACAATTCTATAGTTTTCGTATATGTACGAAAACTATGAAGGGACTTTTGTTTTAGAAATTATATAAGAAAAAGTAGACATTATTTTTAAGTTCTAAATAAGTTGGTTATGAATTTGGCTTTATCTTGTCAAAATGGTATTATATTGTTATATACAATCAACACAGATATATACATTTTGGTCATTTTTGCAGTTTTTGTATATATAAAAGTAGTTCTGATTTTGACCAATCGTATCCAACTATCAAAGTATCTTCCATGTATGTTATTAAGGATAAGTATTTTCAGAGGATTTCAGATATAACAAAGCCTACTAGAAACATCCACTTTGGATCCTTAATAACAAAATTTAAAAACAAAACAAGAGAAGATAAAAATATTATTTCTGTAGTTTTGAGAGTTAATAAAAGCTAATGAAATCGCGACCCAACAATACAAGTTTAGTTTTGAGGTCACTTAGCTTTTACTCCAAATTCCCAGTTTTATACCACCCGAACATGTTTACCTCCCAGTGCGTTATCGGGATTTATTTTATTCAGAATACTTAATTTTCCAATAATATGGTATGAAGAATATCTCTTTACTGCTTTACAAACAAGTTTTCAATTTGAAAAGACGTTGAAATTTGAGCGGTAAAATTCCTGGAAGCAAAACAAGGGAGACGTTCCACGTTTGTACATTTGAAAATGAGGCTTCGATAAAAATCCGTTATTAGTAACCACTCTTATCATTTATGAGAGTTGCGTGTTAAAGTGCAGTATTTAAAATATTGACATAAACTAAAATATATTACTGAAGTATTTAAAGAAGAATTTGTCTGTGACTTCCTTATATAATGTTGACATATATCATGACTTCGCTTGTGCTTATAGCCCTGATACCATGTGATACAAGACCCCCCGGTTCTTTGTAATCAGATAACTTTGGTGGTGTCATTTGTACCGAACTTGTCCCGTTTTTGGAAGGCATAATTTGAACGTATTTCAACTTTTTAAGTTTAGAAAGGTGATAGTTAAACGGTTGGAATGTCAAGAAAGATTAACAGCTTTATACTTGAAATGGTGTTTAAATTTTTCATTTATTACATAACGAGGACTAATCTTATTTTAAAATAAATTCAAAGAAAGTATCCATAAATAAAACTCCAAGATTTGACACACATATAGGTGATAACTGTCAGTCGACGGAATATATTTAACTTCACGCTATCGGTAAAAAGTTGAAAATTAGAAGAAAAAAAAGTAGATTTGATTATTGATTGTTTAACCTCCATAATTCAGGGGAAAAAACGATGTACCGATATATAAATCGTAGATTCTGAAATAGAACAAAATATTCTATAATATTCTATATATATACATTTTCCTTTTCAATTTTTGCATCGTTTGGAAAAAGATTTTTCTAAGAAGTTTGAATAGATTTATTTACGCTTTAAAAGTAAAACTAGACTTGTTGACGCGGATTCCGAGTAAGATGTCCGGTGGGGTGACACTAGTGGCCTCCTTTTGGACTGATACTTTATGATCAAACACGTTAGTACAACACTTGATAGTGAATCTCCTCCTGAATATGGCGGAATGTATTACAAACTTGACGCCAAATATCAACCCAATGATTATTTCATCCATTTAATCCAATTCTATTGGTCCAATCACAAAAATTTACTAATCTATTAGAACTTATAAATGGGGGGGGGGGGGGGGGGGGGGGGGCAGGAGTTTTTTTTTGGCGAATTGACTATTCATTTGCATCAGTTGCTACGCATGCTTATTGGCTGAAATTGAAATGTAGATATCCAGCTAAACTAAAAAAAGATCATTGATCATATATATAATATTTTAAGAATAAAACGACAGAGTGATAAAAATATAACTTTAGGATATATGCGCATATGCTAGTAACTTAGTGGATTTTTCAATGAGGGTTACATTATAAATGTTGATATTTGTGTACAAAGTATAACCAATTTTTGAAAGTTTAGAGCTACTGCAAGCAGTGATGAGTTGTTGTGGAATTCAGCATAGTGGAAAGGGCATACAATGTTGTGTTAGTCATTTTAGCATCAGTCATACATTTAATAATAACTACAAACGCCCCACGATGTACAGCCCGAGGAGAGACAGCTTAAAACACATGCAGAACTTGGTGATTTATATTGAAGCAAAATGCGGCAAAATGTCTTTAGATGGTGTTCGTTATCAAAGCTACTGACCACTGGCTAATTCATAAAAATGAAAATAATTGATGAACGAAGTTTGTTCATTTTCATCCTGAAATAACAAATGATACATGTTTAATTACAGATTATGGTTCAGTGTATAGAAGCCGGTTTCTTTGATGCTTTAGAAAGCGTCGGAGAACCTGCGTCACTGGAACTCCTATCAAAGAAGTTTGGGTACGACCTGGAGATTTTGGATAGACTGATGAATACATTAGTTAGTTACAGGTTAATCATTGTCGAACAGAACAAAAAGGGTAAGCATCTGCGCTTGTAAACAATTAGTTATTTCCGGAGGGATGATTAAAAATATAACAGGTGATGTTGAAAATAACTTTATCGTGACCATGCTATTCTAAAAACATGAACAGTTAAACTACGTCAGTGATGTTACTGATATAAGTTAATAGTTAATTTTAATATCCTCCTTTAATTCCATTAATCTTAAGCGATCAAATGTGGAACCATAATTCTCTACACAAAATTTTACCCATTTTTTTTATTTTTAGAGATGAATCTTTGATCAAGATATAGCTTTAATATTTCATGAGGGGATCAATCTTGATTTCACAGTTGATAAAAAGTTTTGTCTCGCAGATTTGAAAAACAAACTAAACATATTTAAACATTTAACTGCCAAGTCGTGACTTCATCTTCTTAAATTGTCTCGTGTTTTGACTTTGGTTCAAAATAACTGTAGATAAATATAAATATCATAATTTTACCGAAAATACAATTTTATTTATTTCAGGATCAAATACTTACAAAAATTCAGCAAGTACATCCAAGTACCTAACACGATCTAAGAAACCAACAATGATTGGTTTAATCATGATGAACGATAAGATGTGCGGACCCCTAACAGAAAATCTCCCCGAACTGTTGAAAAATGGTAAGTTATAGTTGCATTCCTTAAAACATGCTGCTTCTGAAGACAATGTTAACGATTTTACAGGTTGCATCCCAATAGCACTGCAGTAAAACATTAAAAGTCATACTTGGATAGATTCTTTGTCTGGGATGTATTTTAGTCCAACGGTAAAAAAATATTTTTCTTCTTCTTACTGTTCAGTTTTAAAATAATCAGCAAAGACCTAACAGAAAAATATGTGTTTCTTATGATGTGTGTGCGTTTTTTTTGTTTTTTTTTTGTTTTGTTTTTTTTTTTTGCTTTTTTTTGTGATGTCTTGTTATACAAAGATATTGAGAGGAAACCCTTCACTTTTCTTTGATCTTTAATTTGAAACATAACATTTAATTTGATCACATTTTTGACTGAACGATTTAGAGCTTGTTATATATACACCTCGCTCTTGTTGAATCATGTATGTCCAATGCGTGTCATTTTTACTCTATGAGTCGTTGTGACTGAACGATTAAGAGTTTGTTATATTTACACCTCGCTCTTGTTGAATCATGTATGTCCAATGCGTATCATTTTTACTCTTTGAGTCGTTGTGACTGAACGATTAAGAGTTTGTTATATTTCCACCTCGCTCTTGTTGAATCATGTATGTCCAATGCGTGTCATTTTTACTCTTTGAGTCGTTGTGACTGAACGATTAAGAGTTTGTTATATTTCCACCTCGCTCTTGTTGAATCATGTATGTCCAATGCGTGTCATTTTTACTCTTTGAGTCGTTGTGACTGAACGATTAAGAGTTTGTTATATTTACACCTCGCTCTTGTTGAATCATGAATGTCCAATGCGTATCATTTTTACTCTTTGAGTCGTTGTTACTGAACGATTAAGAGTTTGTTATATTTCCACCTCGCTCTTGTTGAATCATTTATGTCCAATGCGTATCATTTTTACTCTTTGAGTCGTTGTGACTGAACGATTAAGAGTTTGTTATATTTACACCTCGCTCTTGTTGAAGCATGTATGTCCTATGCGTGTCATTTTTACTCTTTGAGTCGTTGTGACTGAACGATTAAGAGTTTGTTATATTTACACCTCGCTCTTGTTGAAGCATGTATGTCCTATGCGTGTCATTTTTACTATATGAGTCGTCGGTTTGTTGCCTGATTGACATATAACCCATATCTCCTTTTTCATACTTCAGGGGAAAGTCATTTCTTACGGGGTTTTCATGTTTTAGATATAGCAACAGGTTTACATTGTTTTAAATTATTCTAACAGCTGACGAACAAAATGGAAGGTCATGAATTATCTTTCGATATCTTTTTTTACAAAGACAACCTGCTGTTGTTCAATATAAAATTAAATCTGTTAATTTAGACTTTATGGATTTGTGAAGAGCTAGAGAGATACATGTATTTAGTAAAAATAATCTCTATGGCATTTACATCAGTCAACGATTACAAAATGTTGAGAGCAAGATCTGAAGAGCCTGCACAATTTATAGAAAATCCTCTTGTCACTTTTCTGTATGCTGTAAAACATAAATAGCTGCTTGCTATTTGTCAGTAATTACAAGTCATGTATATTATGTCAAGTACTATTGTGTGTGTCTAATTGGTTTCTGCATGCAGAACGATAAAAAAAAAGTTCTCCGAATGCCATAACCAGGTTAGAAAGATCTGTTTCATGACCTACTATTTTGTTCGTCATATGTTAGAATCATAATTACTAAACAGTTCAAAAACAATTAAAAATTTTATCAATGGTCTTTAACATAAAATTGTGGCATGCTTTTCTGTTCTGTTTTGAATACTGTTCAATTTGTATTATTCCATCTTTATGTCCCGACTACGATAATTTAGGTGCAGGGGCACTATGTTTTCCGTTTGTGTGTCCGTTCGTCCATCCGTTCAGTATCAGAGTAAACTTTTGATTAAAGGAAGGTTCAATTTTTGGTTCCACGTAGTTTTCAATGAAGTGTGTGATCACGTCAACTTAAAAATTAGTACTCACATCTAAAAATAAGAAGATGTAGTATGATTGCCAATGAGACAAATTTCCACCAGTGACCAATGGCCAGTAAAATTAAGCAACTAAAGTTCGCCGTACACATACCGCATAGCAAGCTATAAAAGGTCCCGACATGACAAATGTAAAACAATTCAAACGAGAAAACTAACGTCCTGATTTATGTATGAAACAATAAACGAAGAACAAATTTAATATACAACAACAAACGACAACCACCTGACTTGGGACAGTCACATACTGGATGTGCCGGGATTGAACATGTTTACGGGCACCCAACCCTCTCCCAACCTTGGACAGTGGTGTTGCAGCACAACATAAGATCAACTTATCAGTTGAAAAAGCCTTGACTCATCGGATCGACACAAAGCGCACACAAAAAAAAAACAACTAACAAAAAGACTGAAGGCATAAAGTACCGATCTGAGAGTACTTGCATTTACTAAAAGATAGTACGAAGCCAATAACGTCCAATAAATACCAATAAATATCGTCCATCTAATTACTGTTCTAGACAGCCTCCAAATGATCCAAAAGCTCGCAACTGTTATTAAGCTGTTGCTCTTTCGGGACTTTCACATCCGAAAAAAAAAAATTACCAAAGAGAAGTATACATGTTCCAATTTTTTGTGAGACTACAAAAAAAGAGGTTGCTTTGATTCAGTAGATGAGTTGGGTTAGGGTAGTTTACGATATAGCGTTTAAGGTCAATCGACTGGAAAGAGAGGCAGATCGTTTTGGAAACTACGGGAACACAATAAAAATCTTCAGTTTTTGCAATATATGTGTTAGCTTAAGGACACGTGTTTCATTTTCTTAACTAGAAATGTAGATCTATGTCAAAGGGGAATAACCGTGATCGTTCCTAAAATTGACACATTTTTTATATGTATTTGAAACAATAAGAGCAGTGCATGACATTTGTGCAACAAAGATAGTGTCAACGTCCTTATGTACAACGACCACTGTTATGTTGTTTTTTTATTCTATTTTATTTTCATTGTAATGCAATGCCTTCTGATATTGATAGTTTTAATTGATGATTTGCCATTAATTTGTTATTTTCATTTCTCCAACATAACCTTGACTTTTTAACTGGGACTGATTGGAATTCTTGCAATTATTTTCAAGGTCTGCGCTTGTAAACAATTTAAAATTATGCATAGATATGGGACATAGAATTTAACAACTATACATGTGTATATTTCAAAAATGGGGGCACTGTGATAGTACACATAAACTACTAAACTTACTGTACGGTTTGGGGTTTGCTAATTTTTTACGTCCGTGTGGTATCAATTAGTTATCCATGTCCTTTGGTTTCTGTAGAAGAGTTTTCTTATTGACAATCATACCACATCTCATTATTTTTGCATACAAATTTTAAAGGAGAATACTGTGATAGTACTTCCAAAGTACCAAGCCTAAATTGTGAAAGGGGGACAATGTTGAAGTAAATTTAAACTAACGTTACAAGATAGAAATGTGAAAAGCGGACATTGTGATACTGAGTACACCCAAATTATCGACCTAGAACTGTGAAGGAGGGCACTGACTGTACACACATGGTTTGGGACACTGTGATTATACATTACAACAATTAGTAAAATTATTACTGCAATGATCCGAACGCCTTCACTTTCCGTCGATGTTTTCTGTAGTTCAAGTGTGTCAAGATATACATTTGAACTGAAGATAGATATACATTGGTTTTTCAGTATTTTTTTTTATTATTATTGTTTTCAAGTTTGCATAAAATTGTTTTGATATGAAGAGCCTGACAAAACGTGTGTAGGTGTATATCAAAAGCAAGTACTAATTTCATTTGAAAAAAAAAAACATTTTGAAACTGATATAAGGTATTGATTTTAAGTAATAATGAATAATATATAAATGTGTTTCAAAGAATATAATATGTCATCAATGAAATATAATATCGTCTTTAATGTACTTTTTCTTTCCTTTGCTATAGACAGTCACAGCTGTCGCGGGAAACAAACATGAATGACATGATGTTTCATTGATAAAAATGAAATGACTCACTACTAAAAAGTACTTTACCTCCTACATCAAAATGAGAAAAAGTTTAATAATTCATATATTACACTTTCTTTGATTGATTGAACATTCCCAATATTCTTCAAGGACACGTTTTTATATAAAACCTTTGAATTACATGTTGTTTTTTTTTTTTTGTAAAGCTACAGCAAATTTTGTGTAAACAATTATAGTAGACCTTCATTCATATCGAACATACGTACTTTTTATTTTAATTTACATGATAATTAACGGAAATCGATTTTCATCTTTCTTTGTACCTAATAACTAATCAGATTAATTAGATATTTAAATTTTTTCATCGATTGCAGAAAATGGGGCACACAATCTCTGTTTTCTTTATAAGTCCAGTTTAATTAATTTTGTGTAAGCAAACAATTTGACTTGGTTATGTATATTTCGTTTCTATTCTCAGTTTTTGTAGATTAAGTAATTAATTGATTGGTTAATGACAATCATATACTAGAAAAGAACGGATATGGGGTATCCATCCATGACACAAAATCAGTATATGCACAGCGAACAACACAAAAAGCAAAGTTACAGCTCTTTTGTTGCTGTTCTTTAATAACAATCATGCATATTAAGGGCGGGAGTTGGTACGTTTGTACTTGAGTTTTGCTATCTGATGTACTGTTTGATGTTTTTGTTATAGAGTAAAGTGGTCTTCCTATACTATTGTTTTAATATTGTTTTTATATGTAGCCTTTGTTGGTCCACAAACTGAGATTTGAAGGCGGAGGGTTGAAATATCAAAACACTAGTTTAACTCAACAAAAATATACCTGTGCCTGTTCCAAGTCGCGAAAACTCGTTGCCTTTTCTCATACCTAATGTGTTTGTCAATTTTGTGATTTTTGCGTTGATAGTCTCTGTTAAATTTCTTTACTAGTTTTCTAGACTCTTGGCTATGACTGACTATCGTACTTGTTACCTCTTATCTTATCTTTTGTTTTGTTTTGGTGTTTGTTTTGTGTGTGTGGTTTCTCTCTCATTGTTATTTGCGTAGTCGGTTTAACAGGGGAAATGGCACTGTCCCATTGTGTGTCTCAGATTTAACTTCTCAAATCAGATAGAGCAAACGTGACTGTCAATGGTATGCGTTTTACACCTCCGATTTCTATCCCAAACCTTCATCCATTCAAGTAAAGGTCTTAAATTCTAATGGATTAAGTAGCCGTTGTTCTATACTCTATGTAACAATGAAGACTGGCAAATTTTGAAAAATAAAAGTGTGAAATAAACAGTTATTTCTCAATTCCAGGTCTACCCAAGTTTGACATCAACAGAAATATAGCAGCCATGAAAAACGGCATGAATAAGAATGGAGTGAATCTAACGGACCTAAAAAATGAAAAGAACATTACTGAAATGAAAATGAAAACAATCAAGATTGAAGACAAAATATCACCAACATGCAGTCCAACCAAAACAAATGTGTCAAAAAGTAATAAAATGCCACCGATGCCGAATGGAATGAATATGAACAAAATGCCACCAATGCCTAATGGCATGATGGCAATGAAAATGTCAATGATGTCACCTTCTATGATGTCATCGATGATGCCTAAACCAAATAACATGGACAATCCACCATGTGACATGTTATCCAAATTCATTATGTCAACAGATGCATTCTCTTGTTCGTGCGCCAGTGCTGTTGTGCGCGCTTTTGATCTCAGTCCTCACCGAGAAGCGGTTGATCTTGGTGGTATGTATTATGATTTAAAGATTTTATTTTCTTAATTAACTGATAATATTTATGGGTTACTTGTCAAGTTGGCTGTAAAATTTGAAACAAAAACTGTGGTAGTTTGACACGTAAATTAATAAGGCAAGAGTGATGCATGTTACCTTGTGAAGTTTGTTAATACATATAGCAAGAACTGTTTTAAATAAATGACACAAACAATGACCATAAGCATCATTACACTTGATGGTGCAACTAAAAATTCTCAAAATCCTCATTCTTGATTTCCACAATGTTTAATACCCAAATCCTCTCTTCTTTCACTTCTTTTGATAATGTTAAGCTACAACCATGCAATTATGTTCATTTATATTCATTATATATGTTATCATATAGGTGGATCAGGTAGAATCTCAATTGAACTGTCCAACGCATACACCAACATGAAAGTAACGATGTTTGACTTGCCTCCAGTTGTACAGCTCGCACAGAAAATGTTTCCGCACAATTCAGATGGAACACTCCAATACAAAGCAGGTTAGTTCTGTATTCCTTTTTTTCGAAATAAGCAATTCATGTACACCTCATCTATAATATCATCAAAGCTAATAACACTTTAGATTTGAAAAAAATGGAAGTAAAATCTGCATCTCTTCAATATTTTTCAATACTGTATCTGACAGTATTCTTATATTTTTATATGTACCTATCTCGATATAATTTATGCCATATTATTTATTTTTGTCTGGATAGGAGACTTCTTTGAAGACGACATACCTTCAGGCGATTTATACATACTGGGACATGTTTTACATGGCTGGGATGAGCTTCATGTGGATCAACTTCTTAACAAAATATTCGCTAAATTACCGCCAGGTAAATATTAAATATAATGATCATGAAATAAGTCTATAAAATTTGGAGATCAGTTATTTATTATGTATCGATTCAGCAACGACCAGATTAACTTTATGATTCTGTGCCCTGAATCTAACACGTACATTGTTTTACCGTCCCAACTTTTTATAATTTGTTTGGAGGAAAATGTTTGAAAGGAAATGAATTCTAAATGTGTTTTCCGTCGTCCGATTCGGATTTATGTCAATACTGCCGTTTCCCATTTAAGACCTGGTCAGTTAAGATATGAGTAAAAACTAACAACAAATTCAAACAAAAACCTAAATAAACAACTACATTGATTCTTCAATAGAAATTATTGGTACATGCACTTTTAAAGTTGACCATAATTATTTTGGAGAGAACAACATGATATTAATCTAAATAGCATGCCCGACATTGGTGGGTGTCTTCTGGTAGACATAAAACATTAAAGAGAGGGCTGAAAATACTCTCAAATAGTGAATATTTGTTTCTTGGACGTTGTTTAGTTTTTATTCTGTGTTTGATGTGATATAAATGACGGGAGTACCAATCACTAACGTTCCAAGAGGTAAAATACCTTAATTTGTCTCAGAATCGTGAAGGAGTTTCATATTTAAATTTGAGGTTACAATCCGGTATAAAATATAAAAACAAAAAATCCTTAAAAATGAGAAATTGTTATTATCCAAATCGGTTTAAAAAAAATGGACTGTGTGTATTGAAGAAATATTAAAATGACTTTATAAAACTGGAACACGTACGAGTTCACATTCATTATTAGTTCAAAGATTTTAAATGAGAACATACACTACTTATTTATTATATTTCAGGTGGCAGTCTGTTGGTTTTAGAGAAAGTTTTAAGTGACGACAAATCCAGCCCAGAACTTTGTACGACCAATGACTTAATTCTGGCTTTAATGTCGAAAGGAAAAGAACGAAATGCATCAGAATATCAAAAACTTTTTGCCAAGCATGGCTTCACAAATGTGCAATTCCGGTATATTGACGGGTTCAACTACTGTGACGCAATCTTAGTCAAGAAACCGTTTTAAACGTTCTGTCCATCTATTTGGCGTTATGTTGTATTTTCAGTAGACTCAAGAAGCCTGTTTGTTGTACTATTTTTTTAAATGGTCATCTGATAGGTTATTTTACCTGAGGTCTGTACCTGGAAGTATGTAACATTTAAATGATAATTTGATAATTTCCTTTTATCAGAGACTCTTTTAAGTATATTTGGGCAAAAAATTACTTTGTTCTCAAATATTTAAACGAAGTGACACTGTAATTTTTAAAAGAATGTCAGGATATATTTTTTGTTAAGGTGGTACCAAACACCTTGACTAAAATTAATTTGGCTGGTTTAATTTTCATAAAATTTTGAAAAAATATTTACTTTAATCCTTTGACAAAAATATGAAAATTTCAAAAAACTTGAACCAGACGCTTTATCGGAAAAATAATAGTTTGACAAACACTAATTTTGATCATTGAGAAGCTTAATATTACCTTAACAAAAGAACGTGATTAAAACGTTCAGTTGTTTTTTTCAGAGTTATCCCCCTGTAGTGTTATGTACCACCTTAAATTCGTTTTATATGTGTATGTAAGTTGTCTATTTATCGGAAAGGAGTGGGTATGATAAATACGATTATTCAGCACCACATTTTTAAAAAATATTTAAAATCCTCAAACCCTTCCAAAATTATATTAATTTTGTTGATTGATATGGGAATGTGATATGGACACTTACGACCAGATACAGGAATGTCACTTGTGATGTCACGATGACGTCACTATGATGTAATAAACATGTCGAAATTGAGATATTTGACTCAAAATGACACTTTTACGCCATAGCTTTTGGTTAATTAGATATGAGTTAAGGCCTTACCCAAAACAATATTTTAACCACATTTACATCTTTGAATAAGATAACTAAATCAATGGCAAAATATCTTTTGGGATTTTGGCTCATATCTTATATCTGAAAATGGGATAATTTGGAAGTTTATGCAGTTTTGTATAGAATGCAAGATTTTTTAGCCCATATTGAATTATATAAAACAATATTATGAAAAAAATACATATATGTGACAGATTAATATCTTGTGGACTCCCAAAGGATGTTATTTGATAGATTTATTGTACTCAGTTTTGAATTTCGAATTTAAGGGAGCAAAAGATTTGCCTGGAATACCTTCTCCCTTTTATTTTGGGGTATATCTAAGATATAACATTTTAATTGGTGAATGCATATTATGGAGTTTATCTAAAACAGTTTTGGTAGACTAGCAATTGGTGGTTTTCTAAAGTGTCATTTTGAAAAACTTTTTGGGTCTACTAATGAGATCTATTTTTTCTCAACATCCCCCATTTAAACATATATAATAGAATAAAGGTATATACTTCGTTTAATATTAAAAAGGAGAATATTTTGTATAAGTCCCTTACATATAAATAGGAAATTATTGGATTTCCTAAAAGAAATTAGAGTTAGCTTTTATATGTCTTTCAAAAATAATTTTTGATGATCTCCACTTTGTTTAGCTGTCGTTGCTCTACAAAAATATTGTGAATACATTCAATCTTGCTTTTCAACAATTTTTTTTTAGCATTTTGTGTGAATAGTCCATTTATTTTTATTTGTGGGTTTCGTTTTCGTGATATAATCTTAGACATAACCAATTTTTATCAGGTTAGGACTCCTTCGTCCTGATATCAGGGGATTTTTGTCGTTAAAGTGGTGTGATATACAACCAAGACTCATTTTGATACTAAAGTATAATTTGAAACAGAAAGGATATGCAAACATGCAACTCCCAATGCAATTAAAAAACCCAACACTTATCTTAATATTTGATGTTATGCATATTAAAGAATATGCTTACTACTCAGGTTGTCAGAGGCATACAAACTTTTTATATACCTCAAAGATTAGATTCCTACAGTGATTCTGAGTTGGAAAGACAATGTTTACAAATAATAAAATTTCTGAACTTCAACATGGCATCTTGTACCTTGTATCTAGCCAAGCTATGGATACCAGTAAAAGGAAAGCAGATCTCTAATTCGTCGGACGAATGGAGGATTCGTCGTTACTTCAGTGAGGTGATTTTGTCTAGGAAAGTACTGGATCTCATGAACTTCAAATACCTCCGTCATAATACTCGGGCACTATGTATATATTGCTTTTATTTTAGTTTTGGGTTTTCATAAATTCTTTTACATTTAAACGAGTAAATAATGCATTTTGTATTTAAACAATGCCCAATTTCGTTTTAATTTTGGTAATCAAAACTGTACCGAGTTGAATTTTTACCTATGTATTTTCTATCAGCTTGGTGTGCAAGTCTTTCTTTTTACCATTCTTCTTTTTGTTTGTTAATAGGGCACATTGTTATGTTTTGTTTTCATATATTTTTTTATTGTGCATCAGAAATCATTTTATTAACCAGTATGAATTTGACATGTTATCATCTTTAATGATGTTGTTTCATACAATTTATTTATTGTGATTTAATGTTGGAGACTTTCAGAGAGTAAAATTATAAATGTGACCAAATTGTCATGGAGGTACTTTTGTCTTTAAACTTGTTGTTTTAGCATAATTTACAGATATTTAATAAATGTTCAATTTTAGAATACTTTTTTCATATATTGTCCGGATACCCGTTTGTATTTCAAATATGACAGCGTCTTTGCTGTTTTACTACCAACGTTCTTCTTTGGAACACATATAAGCTGAGAAGCTTCGAAGACGAAAAAAAAACGGTTGAGATACAATTATTTTCATCAAATTTTTTTCATGTAAAATGCCGTAACTGGTTCAAACGTATTTAAATTAAAAGAAACTATACATGTATAATTAAAAATTCACCTAAACATTTACATGGATAGACAAAATAAATTATCAGTTTCCTGTAACTCCCCTTATCATGGTATCTAGGTTATAGTTTTGCCAGTCATGTGATTTATTTCGAGCCCCCACTGCACATAAATCACATAGAATTCATTCAATCAATGGTTTGTAAAACTAAATCATCAAAGATACAGATTTTATAATATTTATTCAGACGCGCGTTTCGTCTACAAAAGACTCATTAGTGGCGCTCGATTCAAAAAAGTTAAAAGCCATATAAAGTACGAAGTTGAGCATTGAGGACCAAACTTTCCTAAAGATTTTGCCAAATACAGCTTAGGTAATCTATTCCGGGGGTAATACGCGGGGGCAAAAATCATAAGGTCAAAAGTAGACTTTCTAAAGACGATCCAGGTGAAGTTTGATTTTAATCGACCTTGAGGTTTTGTGGTACATTTTTGTAAAAATGTGTAACTATGGATGCCATGACCCTCTGGTTCAGCGGTTCTTATAAAAAAGATAATCTGGCAGACATTATCAGCAGACAAATATCAACAACAGTCGTTGCCCATTTATTATTTATCTATTCATTTATGCCAATAACACATAAAATATTTATTGTTTATAAGTACGTGTCTTTGTTGAATAACCTCGAGTGACTGTTGTGCTTTAGATATATGTAAACAAATTACGCCATCGAGCAGCAACAATTTGATCAGGTGGTTTTATTAAGAAATAGAAGAATTTGATTAGTTTAAAATCCAAACAATATGATGGTTACTGAATAACACAAAAATAAACAATACATGCATGTAACAGTGTAACATTGTCAACAAGTTTGTAAAGCGTGACAACATGCCTCGTTCCAAAAATATCATCAACATTTTTATACTAAGAATAAACTCATCATAAATACCAGGATTAAAAGTTTCTACGCCATACGAGCGTTCGTCTTCAAAAGACCTATCAGTGACGCTCGAATCAACAAAGTTAAAAAGTTCAAATAATGTACGAAGTTGAAGAGCATTGTCCCAACATTCCGAACAGAGATATGGAAGGACATCCTGCATACCATTATTATTTATCCATATACTAAGTGATTAACCCGCTGTATAGAGGAGACCATCACGTTCTTTTGTCTGGTTAAAAGGTTTTCATAATTATAAATTAACTGTTTACAAAACTTTACCTTTTTGAAATACTACTTAAGGCTTTTCTACCTCAGCAATAGACTACTTTAGCTGTATTTGGCAAATTTTTAGGAATTTTTGGTCCTCAATGCTCTTCAACTTCGTACTTTGTTTGGCGTTTTTAACTTTTTTTGATTCGAGCGTCACTGATGAGTCTTTTGTAGACGAAACGCGCGTCTGGCGCAAATACAAAATTTCAATTCTGGTATCTATAATGAGTTTATTTTCAATAAGAGGGGTAAAAATGTGTTTTAGTTGGTTTTTTACTTTGAAATTGTTTACTCTTGCTACACTTATTATGATTGGTGTACTTTTATTTAGTTTTTCGTTTTGATATTGGGATAAACGCAAATAACAGAATAATCATGAATAAAAGAAAATCTGGAGTAAATAAACTCATCATATATAATACTAACCGTAGGCAACATAATTACAACAACAGATAGATAATAAAGACGGACTAGCTCACACATCCTATGGCTATCCAAAATCACAACACCATTACAACAACAGATAGATAATAAAGACGGACTAGCTCACACATCCTATGGCTATCCAAAATCACAACACCATTACAACAACAGATAGATAATAAAGACGGACTAGCTCACACATCCTATGGCTATCCAAAATCACAACACCATTACAACAACAGATAGATAATAAAGACGGACTAGCTCACACATCCTATGGCTATCCAAAATCACAACACCATTACAACAACAGATAGATAATAAAGACGGACTAAACCCTAATTATATAGATACTACAGACATCAAAAGAAAACCATGTATATACATATACACTATTTCGTTTTTCGCCACATCTTTCCCCAAAACAATATTTTTTTCGCCACTCTTAATTTTTTTTCGCTAACTCACATAAACATGTTTTCATTCTTGCTTACAAAAAAAAATCAGTTTGCAGCATTGTTGTCTCATTTATAATAATTCTATATATCTATTTCAGATCCTACATTGCAATAAACAAACACTCAATTAGAAAAGAAATCTTGAACTTTTTTTAACCATACGGTAAAATTTGATTTCTGGGAACACGGGGTTCATCTTCACTCATTATATTGGATATTCAATGTCTAGTAAATGGACAAAGGATAAAATCAGAGATGGTTTTTACTTTTGAACCCTTTCTTTAAAACAATAGTTTTCTTTTCCGAATCATCGTTAAAAGTAAATTATGCTTAAAACTGGTGCGGCGCTAAAACGATTGGGAAGTACCCACTTCAAAACAATTATTTTTATCAATTTATTAAAACAATCTTTTAGGTGACATGTGACGCCGTTTTACCACATATTTTCATTAAACAATACAATTAACACCTTTTAAATTAGTCTATTGTTGTCGATTGCTATCAAATGCAATCAGCTGATTATTGACTCATTATTGATTTTCAGATAAATTGATACGTATGACGAGTTCAAAGGTGAAATCCGAGTATTGTGTGATAAGGGAAAAAGTGCGAGAAACCTGAAACAAAATAAACAAGATGGACGAAGTTGGACCGTTATATTTCTTTCGCCAAATTTTTTCGCCATTCATGATTTTTAATCGCCACAATTACATTGTTTTCGCAAAATGCGAAAATGGCGACCGCCAGCGGAAATCCTGACAAAGAAAAAAAAGATGTTTTATCTCAAATTTCAGAAACAAAATTGATATTAATACCTTTTAAATAAAATGCTTCTGCGCCTGTGATGCAACCGCATTCTGACATCAGGGAAAACCGCGCTTTAGCCAAACAAAATCAATTGAGATACAGAAAGTTGAAAGGAAAAGCTCATTAATGATACCAGGCTTGTGATTTATTACTCCAGACAACATAAGACTCATCAGTAGCACCCGAATCAAACCAGTTTAAAAGTCAAATAAAACATGAATGTGCTAAACATAAAAAACTAAACATTCAGAAAAATTGTCCCAAATTCGGCAAAGGGAATCAGTCCTTAAGGCAGAAAAAACATAAGTGTTAAGAAAAATTCAAAATTTTGAAAACAGAAAATATACAGATAGACCGTTTCATAGATATGTCATGTCAACACAGAAGTGCTAACTTCTGGACTGGTGATACCCTCGGGCATGGAGCGTACAGCAGTAGTGGAATCGACCCAGTGGCTAGTAAAACTCATCAAAGATACCAGACTTATAATTTGTTAAAACAGACACGATTTCGTCTGAATAAATCTCATCAGTGACGCTAGAATCAAATCAGTTTTTTTAATGCTTCATCAAATACGAAGTTGAAGAACACGTCAGAAAAGTAAAATAACAAAAATACCGAACTCCATGGAAAATTCAAATCGGAAAGTCTCTTATCAAATGGCAAAATCAAAAGCTCAAACACATCAAACGAAAGGAAAACAACTGTCATATTCCTGACTTGGAACAGGCATTTCCTTATGTAGAAAATGGTGGATTAAAGCTGATTTTATAGCTAGCTAAACCTCTCACTTGTATGACAGTCGCATAAAATTCCATTATATTGACAACAATGTGTGAACAAAACAAACAGACATAATAGGTAAAAATGTCAAAAATAGGGGTACAGCAGCCAACATTGTGTTATAATCTTAATCACTATAAAACAAACAAATATGTCAACAAAGAAAAACAAAATGACATATAGACAAAGCACATTAGCAAAAATGAAACAGAAGAATTCAAAAAATGACCACAGCACACCAAAACATTGGCGGGATGCAAAAGTACCCAGCCACGTCAAAAGGATATTACCAAAAAAGACTAAACAGTAAAGGTTATTAATATACAAATAATATCTTAAGATCTGAAAATTCCTGACATTGTACAGCTCATCATATTACAGTTCCAAGTTGAATATCAAATAATTCATTAAAGAAGAGTAATATGTTACCAAAAGTTCCATGCCCAGTGGTCACAATAACAATTCAAAGTATCATCAGACAGGAAGTGACAGCCAAACAGATCTGAATATCGGTAACACGTTACATCTCAGAAGTCACTGCCAAGCAGATCTGAATATCGGTAACACTTTACATCTCAGAAGTCACTGCCAAGCAGATCTGAATATCGGTAACACGTTACATCTCAGAAGTCACTGCCAAGCAGATCTGAATATCAGTTACACGTTACATCTCAGAAGTCACTGCCAAGCAGATCTAAATATCGGTAACACGTTACATCTCAGAAGTCAATGCCAAGCAGATCTGAATATCGGTAACACGTTACATCTCAGAAGTCAATGCCAAGCAGATCTGAATATCGGTAACATGTTACATCTCAGAAGTCACTGCAAAGCAAATCTGAATATCGGTAACACGTTACATCTCAGATTTCACTGCCAAGCAGATCTGAATATCGGTAACACGTTACATCCCACAAGTGACTGCCAAGCAGATCTGAATCTGAACACGTTACATCTCAGAATAATAAAGTTTCAGAACAGATATCAAATAATTTCTTTATACATAAGCTGAGTAATATTTCACGAAAGTTTTGAACGGACGTTGCAATATACAACCAACTGCATGAGAAGGTAAATAAACAGAGAAGGGCTACAATTCAATCATAAATTGAGGTATTGAGCATCCAACGAG